TCACAGAGAGATACCCCATCTCGGCTGGAGCAGAAGGTCTTCGAAAGCACTTTATACGGGAATGTCGTTAAAAACGTTGGAGTCGCTTTCCGCTGCCCCAGTGTAGCCTGCCGAGACTTCCTAGCCGGTATAAGAAGTCAGTAAGTGTAGTTGGATATCTGTAGTTCGAAGACGACAGGACGAATGGCCCTTGGCATGGCTAGAAGGCCAGCCCATGTGTACAAGGGCCAGACATATCGCAAAGTGACCACCAAACGTCATGTGGTCGCATAAACAAAGTATTCAGTAGCAACCCGGGACTTCCTATAGGGTGGAAGAAGGCAGTAAGTGTGGCTGGATAGTTGTATTCCGAAGAGGGCAGGACAAATGGTTCAGAGCATGGTCCGAAGGCCAGCCCACGAGTACAAGGGCCAGACAAATCCCAAAGTGATCATAGAATATCAAGTAGTCACCAACAACAGCATCTCCTTCGTATGTTTTTGGATCTGATTGTTTTTCGATAGCCAAAATTTGCACTCAAGTCCTGCACTATCTATGCTTTGACCTCCACAATATGCTTTCTACTCTCCCAAAATAGGTCACCGATGCTGTATTTGACCGACTTTCGTTTAATTAATTACCAGTATGACAGAAATTTCTTTGGGTAACCTTCCGGCTCCTGTCGATCTTGCTGGCCCCCGAGCTTTGGTAGAACATTTCCTCTTAAAGTTTTACCCAAATACAAATATATAGCTAAGTCTCGTTTCCCTTATTACACAATGGAAGGCCTTGAGACGACATCCTGGTTGTGACGGAAACCAAAATTTTAACCTTGCCGTTTGTTGTGACCACTGCGGTTCAGATGAAAGACGTAGCTTTTATGGCGAAACTTTGATTGCTCTACATCAGTGAGGCCAATACTGCTAATTCTCTTTGCACAATTTCCGTTCCAGCACTTCGTTGGTAAATCATTAACACCTAGAGTAGCATCTTTGATTCGTAATGCTCTGTTTATATGACCATATGACGTTTGGTGGTCACTTTAGGAATACACGTATCCATCTGCACTTACTGACTTCTTATACCCGCTAGGAAGTCTCAGGATGCTACCTGATTAACAATAAAAGTTTCGTTACAGCGTTCCCTTTATCTGCGACGACATTTAGGCGTCAGCTGTACGAAAAATCTCGATGTTCTATGCACATGGAAATGTCTTTACCATCAAATACCCTATAATTTGTGCTTTAGAAATCTGTTCTAAAGTCTAGAATCGAGTACGCATAATGAAGAATAGAATTTCTTGTAACTTCCCTGGATTGTTAATTTGCCATTTGGAGGCTCATGAGTAAACTACCTTTGTTATTCCGATGGCACAACGTAATTGGTGAAGCCATCATGTATCCGAGATCGAATACGCTGGTTATTATCTCTTACGTGGATGAAAAAATGTATCCTGCGATTTTGACATCTACGACTCTATAATGAAATGGCTCAACATAAAATCAGAGATCCGTTGACGAATATGTGCGCCGCAGCTCGAAATAAAAAATCTGACAAAACTGGAGCATATTAAGGATACCGGGACACTGCACGGTCCCATGTGGGTTATTTGCCTAACACTTTACGTGGCATAGAATCAAAAAGTTTAAGTGGATTTAAAGGCGGAAGTCAAAACAATCCCTCCTATGTCAAAGAACTTAAAGTTCCTTCTATTAAAAGCATATGCACTTCTTTTACACCATAATATTTCAGCTTTACTCACAAGCTAGCCCAATGGGATCAAAGCAAGATGACTGGCTGTGTCATTGCAGTTCACACAGATGATACGATGAATGCATGCTAAGCTTTTTTGTCGAAGGTGCTCAGGTCAAGCTAAAATCCTTATCCTCCCTTTCTCTTAGAATGTACATAATGCCCGTAATAAATGCTAGTAAACATAAGTTTGCCTTTATAAGAGAGACGCAGGAAATAACTTCGAACACGAATCTAGGGCATGAGAAGCATAGAGTTTCCTTTTTAGGGCAGCATTGGCTTTCCGTCTCATCGATCCTCTCCATTTCATTTCTTTCTGTACGCCATGCCGAACAAAGCTTCCTCAACCAACCCTCCCCTTAAGTCCGAGATCCAGGAACCTGAGGGTAGGTAGCCATGCTTTGCAATGCCCTTTCCACAAAAAAAGTACGAAGACTTGAGAAATTACAAAACAATTACCTTGCAACAATATTCCGCATTCAAGCTTTTATTAATAGTTAATTCCAATATAATCCAAATCTAACTCAAGTGACCATTAGTCTGCTGCCTAACTTTCAGCGCTAGCACTCTACGCCTAACAACCGTGCGCCTTTGGGGCTTCTTCGTTATTAAATTTGCACTAAAATTAGCGCATATATTGCTTATCAACTTTTCAGGTCCCTTGAAAACTTAGAAATGAACCTCTGCTTTGCGCACATTAAAACAGAATCGATCTAATACTTAATGCAACGCAAATATGGCTATGTCCGATTTTTGTGGCTACTAAAAGAAATATTTATTGCGAAGTTTTTATGAAGATTTGCGTTATATCCCCTCCATCATCTAAGGAACTACTTAATTTTTCTCCTAATCAATTGTTACTTTATTGTAGAATAGTCGATCGACTTTTTAATTATTTTTAAGGACAAATGTTTTGTTTTTAGTTTTTTGTTTTTATTTTATACTTATCCCTACCTTCGACTCACGTTCGTCATTCGTGTTTGGGTTGTTCAGTGCTTTCGTGATTCTTCGCGGGTACGTCCGTGTAGTCTTTCGTTATTTTCATTGAGCGAAGTGCATCAATCGTTTGCTACTTTATTCCTGTTAATCGCTTAGTGTTCAATACGTGCATTGGTTAATAATACTTGTAATCTCGCATGTTTTTTCTATTGTTTGTCTGTCTGATTTTGTTTATTTTTGCTACTCACGATTTGTTACACCTGTTTTGATCCTGGTTCTTTATTCTACAGGTGCTTCTGTGTTTATATCTTCAAATAAACATCCATAAAATAGCCTCCCATCTTGACTATCTTGTCCCAATCCGACGCATTTTTCATGTTTGCATCATGATATCTCATTTCAATGCACCACAGTACAGTAATGATAAACGTAGTGTCAAAAATCCTTGCGGTACATCTGCTCTTAGCCTTGTTTTCGCTTTATCTTACAACTGAGATCTATTCCTAATGTTAAAATATGTGTTTTGCTTCCTTTTAATTTGTTTATTTTGCCTTTTATTTTACTTTATCGCGGCCTTGGAGGTTATTTTCATCTCTTCCTTTTCGGCTCTTTATTTTTCGGTCTAAAATAAAGCATAGTTCTACTGACCTTTGGACTGTTACCTATGATATCATGGCAACGCAAAATGAGTCAACCCACACTTTAGGATTTTCTATTAACACAGTTCACTTTGTTGCTAATCGTAACCAATAATAGAGACACAGTTCACCAGTGTTTCACACCACTGTCAGATGTGTAAACTATAAATCTTATGCACTTTTTTCATTCTTCCCCTTAATCAAAACAGGAATACTTGAACCGTGTTTTTGTTCCCATTTCCTTTTTGTCTCTTGCGGTAGTCTTAATGTGTTCGTTATGTTGATGGTTGTAGGCGGTCGGTCATGCCAATGTAACTCTTATCTTCCATTTTTGAATGCTGTTTGTTCGTTTGCATTTCCCCTATCTGTACTTCTGCGCCATAATTCGGTCATCAAGAGTGACTCATGTTTGCAATGAGTCTTGAGGTCGCGTCCGATGGTCCTATCTTCTCTCACTACCGTCTCTATGTCTATTGCAGTCGAAAGAAAGAGCTGGACACGGGAAGGATTTCAATATGGCAGCAGTTAGCGCAATAAGCGAGGGTGCCCTGGTGGACTCTCCCCTTCCCTCCTCTTCTTCCTCGTCTTCTTCGGGTGCCTCCTCCCTATCAACCTCGTCCAATTCGGGCGATTTTGACAGTTGTGAAGGCTACTTAGTAGTCACGTTCAGCCGTAACAATAAGCCACCTCCTACTTGCCTTAATGAGGACACAGGGTGAGTAGATACACATTTTCTGCTTAATTTGTTACTACGTCTGTGTGTGCCAAGGGGGCAAGAGTGCCTGTCCTCCCATCGATCCTTTGAGAGCATAAAATTCCATTATGCACAGCACAGTACAGCACCACACGTACATACTACCACATAAATTTGTGTGCACACGTAGAGAGATAGATAGGTAATTGGGTAGGTAGGTAAGTAGGGGGTTGCCGTGGTTACTCAGGCGAGTCTGATACTATGGCGGCACGCGCACTAACTCACACATATGTGCAAGGTGTGCGTGTGTGTTTACTCGAATGAGTCGATTAGGGTAGCTTTAATTCTTTTTACTATCAGTTAAAGAACTTCATTTATCAAACACTTCAATAAAGTACTAAAGCTCGAGGGCTGTTAGCACTCCTTCTGATGTTGGGAGCATTTTATGGGATTTGGAAGAGAACAGGGTTTTGGTAGAATAAGGAGTTTGTTGTTAACGTTGTAATCATTCCGGGTTCCTTCTTTGTCCTTTGGATTTTATGCGTCACTTCATCCAATCACGCCAGTATTACAGTTTTTGCGCTCTTCTTTGTCCACCTGGAAATATGGATTATCAAGTCGGACAGACGAAGGGATGAGATGATGTGCTATCTCGTCTCCTTCCATTCTCATCCCTCTACCGCCTCAATTACATGTCACCTCACGAATATGTCTTGGGGTATGTCAATGAATGCATCTTTCTCCGGCTACACGTATGTGGGTTGCGCTTCGTTGCATGGAGTGAGTGGATGTTGGCCCTAATCAGTACGCAGTCCTTCTGTAGTGCAAAAATGTCTGCGGTCCATCGCGTATAATCTCGTAGGAGGGTAAGGTGGTGGGTACCTTAGAGGCTTTGGAAAGGATTTTAAGATTGTTTTGTTAAGTTGGACTCACTCGCTTGTTCATCTTTTCATCCAGGCTTCATCCTTCCGTATAATGTTGCAATGAGGTACTTGTCCCTCCTACCCCTTATGGTCTAAAGGAGGGCTTCTCCATCGCCCCCTCATCATTACTATTACACAGTGGTTGGTAGGTTCTGACATTGTGCACGCAACACACTCCCATTCTATCGTTGAGAAGGTAGCCTAGAGGTGGAATTACACTCATTAAATTCATTCGACATTTGGTGTTGTGTTGGTGGGTCACAAGACGCGAGTCCTGTAAAGTGAACCGCATCGATAGATTGACGCATGGATGCCTAATTCACGAGAAGTAAACAATCGCGCACACTTGGTAGGCTCCGATAACCTGCAACTGCATGTGACTCCTAGCTGTTGTCATAAAAATTCGCGTGAAGTTTTGTGATCCTCCGAATTTTATGGGCGATTTAGACTCATTTAACACAGGTCACGCTCGGTTATTGACCGATCCGTGAAATTCTGTTTTCTGATGGTTTGTTGATTCCTCGTCTTTTCGTCACCTTTGCATAAAGTAAAGCCTTCTTTGAAGCATGCTCAGTGTCGTGTCAAACGTATTTAATACGTGGATTAGTCGAAGGCGGGTAGCGCTCACCTCTCATATGGTTGAATCGCGTTCGGGCTCATAACTCCATTAATCTTGTGAAGGCTAACAGAAGACCGATAGCATCTGCGAAGTTAAAAATCTTCACATTCTAGTCGCATTTACTCCACTCCGAGCGATCATTAACGTCCGTTGAATGTATTCGGTAATAGTTCTAATCGAACCGGTGACCTTAACTTGTTCGTCCAAGCATGACTGTCACTACATTCAACACGTTTTCAACCACTTAAGGAATCTCTGTTTCTCCCTCTTTTCACTTTCCTTACCTTCTTTTTAGTGTGGAAAATTCAGAAGCCACAGCAGCAACCCCTCTAAGCATTAACGCAACATCACCACCGGTAGTGGGTACGCGTATCTCCCGTCTCGCTGCAATGGCTGCTGGTGTGGATGTCTCCCAATTGCAGCATTACTCCACATCTAGCATTCCCTCTGGCACTTCTGCCTCCAACATCATCTCCTGCTCCACCTCACCTCCCTCCTCTTGTGACTATGTCAGACGATTTACCTATCCTGATGGAGACACTCACTACGATTGGCTCTCCTGTCCACTGGCTGACATGCAAGCTAAAGGTCCTCTTACCAATTCTACCACCACACATTCCCTGTACTCCTCCAAACCCATCTCCCTTGCCACTGTTCAACGAAAGCCATTCCTTGTCTACGACAGTTCCTTACCATCCGCCTCTGTGCCTGCCGCATCGTGCTACCGGCGTCAGCTAACCACCTCGCGGAAGATGCTTCGCTGTGAGGAATGTGGCAAGTACTACGGGAATGAGTATAGCCTACATCATCACATCTGCCTTCGACGGAAAGATGTCTGGAAAAAAGGAGATGTACCCACCCAACTAGTTGACGGTCAACTTACCTACTTCTGTCCGGTGTGCGGTAAACCCTTCAAGTGGTTAGGCAATCTCACCCGGCATTACTATGTGCATACAGGTCAGCGATTCTTCAAATGTGACATCTGTCACAAAGAATTCTTCTCTGCCTACCAGGTGCGTCGGCACATGAACTCACACACCGGTTTGAGATTCCAATGTGCAGTGTGTGAGAAACCGTTTACATGCAAATACGCCTGTGCGTGGCATGCGAGGCAACATTTAAAGGATCAGCAACAGCAAAAGTCCTAGACTGTGCCTTGGCTCTTCCGTCTGATTGTCTACATAATCAGGCTGTACAAAAATGGTATCTCTGCCTTCTCCCCTTTCCTCTCATCCCGTCTATTCATTCCTGAGACTTCGATGCTGGTGGTTTATCTTCGTCGTCTTCTACTTCGAAGTCTTTCAGAGGTCTTTGCTCAATTGGAATAAATTGAGTGCCTTGCGTTTTACTCATCCAAAAGTGCTTGGAAATCCTGTTGGTTCATACTTTTTTTCTCGCTTTTCTCTTTTCTGTTAGGCCTTTCAGAAGTGAGACCTGCATGCGCTGAGGTAGTGGAGTCTGCTCTCTCGGACACCCAAGCATGTCGTGACTTATAGTAAGGATATCATTCGTCGGTGTTTCATCATCCGCTTCATGTGATCACGTGGTCGTCTGGGGTCACGACATAGTGGTCGCCATTGACGTGGCGAGCAGGCATTGGAGGCATGCCGCCGGTTGGGTGGGGGAAGTTGAAGAGGCTAAGATGAGACAGTGTTTAGAGCCTACAATGCACCTCAGGCAAATTTTGACCATACAGTAGTTTCTATTCCATTGCCTTCTCGTATAGCCACCGGTTGAAAGAAGCACACAGAACTTCCTTCAGACATTAAATGAATGTATTGCTGAGAATCGGGGTGGGGCGTCTCTCTTAGAGATGGCTTTTTTGGTAAGTCACGTGGGAAGGGATTGTAAGCTTAGTTTTCGTCGCGTCTGTCCCCTTAAGGTCGAAGTTGATGCTCTTGTCAGCATGGCTACACCTGTCCTTAATGATCGAGACGAGGGGTTCTTTGTTATCTTTGCGTATGCACCCTTGAGTAGGGTTGCTGGGCTCTGCAATCCACACTGCTTCCGCTGAATGCTCTCTAAGGAGGTGGTCTCTGTCGGCTTGAAACTGGGGTTAGGCTCGCTTTCCAGATCGCATGACATTGCATTCGCCAAAATTAAGCTGCACTGGATACAGATTGACGATAGGAGTTAATGCATAAACTGGCTGGACTACTAGCGAAGTCATCTATCGTGAACCCCTCTTATCAGGGCGTTGGCCTCGATCTTCTGCCTGCGGGTCTATTGTGACTCTCAGTCAAGTAAAATGGAACTCACCGCAAGACACAAAGTACGCTTAAGACATCTGCGCTTTCACAGTCTTGGAGGCATTAGAATTTGCTATTTGTCAGGATTTCTAAGTGCAACTTGGTTGAAGCCTTCCCCACTTATCCAAGCGCTCACACCCATGCGCAGTCACACACACCTATTGATCCTGTTTTGTGCTTTTCTGATTAGCATAAACTGTCGTCACACCAAAAAGGCAAACTTTAGACTGTCTTGATAGCACAGACAAACCAACAATTAAGTCACTAGTACTCCCGGTCTGTCACTCTTTTTTTAAAATAATTTCATCCGTCTACCCTTTTTGTTTCTGAATCGTGGGCTCTTCTTCTGGATAGGGCAGTGGTTGGAGGTGTCACCTACACTTTGTTTACCTTGTCAAATTTGTACAGGAAGTGGAGCTTATTACCCCCTCCTGCTTCATTGATGCACTAATGGTGGCAGTAAACATCTTGGCCACATGAACACACGGTCTGGTGGAGATCTAAAGCTAAGGCAGAAAAAAAGGAGACCCGGTCAGTGCCAATTATAAGCAGTATAGACCGTGGTCTTGACCTATCACTGGTTGGGCAATTGTGAGCCCAGAAGGGTCATGGCTTCACACCGCACCACGTTGATGCCAGCTTCAAGGGATAACAAAAAGTTCGCCTCCTCTTTGTCACCTGCTTCCAATCGAGACCGCCTCGTTTAAATCAAACCTTAAAGTTAGATGATATGATACCACAAATAGTTGGATTTGTGGGTGGATATGTGAAGGCACTTAGATAAGTGTTAACCCTTCTCAACCTCTGAGGTCCCTCTTGAGTTCTTCATACCAGCAGTAGTAAACCCCCCGAGTTGAAAATGACGTACGTGTTTCAGTGACATTAATTTAGCAGTAACAATGAGCACCTATTAGTCTCTTTCCACGCCCCTAGCTAGGAGGGAACGCACTATCGTGCAAGTTACCAAATCACGCCATTCTGATGTGGCCGTCTTCATTGAGAAAAACAAACATCAAGAGGAGGGGGAAAGGGGAGGCGGTAGCGGCAGGGACGGATCCTTCCAACCCATATACACGCTCAAACTACCACATACCAAGGGCTTCCTTGACGCAAAATCAGTGGTGTTTTGTTTAAGCCCGCGAAAGTACCTATTCTGACCTGGCGGTTTCCAGTTTGAACGCGTCCATACCAGGACATCGTTCGCTGCTTATTTGCAGGTGGCTTCAACACAGGACTGGATGCTGTTAATTCGCGGCGGTGGTTGATTGGTCAACGGCACAAGAACCTCCCTCTAGAATGTTCCGTGACCTTAAGACTAGCTCGACCGTCGTGCCAATTATCAGTAGTATAAGTGACCATATTTAGTAAGCAAAAAATTCAGTGCAAGACAAGGTCTTACCAGTAAAGTGACTACAACAAATTTGATTTTGTGACTGGTATCAACTTTTAAAATGATTCACACCAGCTATGTAGACGAAGTGATTGGCTCGTTTCCCATTGGCCAATAGCGACTGCCCAAATTAAATACTTCTTTGGTCTGATTAACTTCAGAATGTCATCGATTAATAGCTTTCCATCATCCTAGTTTAGTCTTTCTTTCCTTAATAGGGCGGATTTGAAGTTAGTGCATTGAGATCCGAAGAGTGTGGTGTTACAACGAGCCTTTGGGAGGAGAAAGTTGTACATGACTTTCTGCCTGGAACACAGAGCGATCATTCAGTTAGGTGTTAACCAACTCGGCATGGTATGCATGGCTTGTGAGGCATTTTCTGCGAGTGCATCTTTCAGGATGTGCCGCCCTTGAAAGGACCGATTCGAAAGGGAATGAAGCAGTAGGCGACGGGTCAAGCGACATTAATCGATTAACTAAAAAATTTATTCTGTTCTTTTCAAAAGATCTACTGACATCGTTTAGGTGTGTACCTGTAAATTAGTCATCTTCATATTGCCAAACAGCTTGGCACTAAAATTGGCGGTGCTATTATTTACAAAGTACAATGAACGTTTAGATCACCTGGTACAGCCTGCAGACACTAATTAGTACGTCGTAGCAACTCAGGAATATCTACGTAAACATTCGTGCTCAGTTGGCCGTCTTTCAGATTTACCACCATCAGCCCCGTGCTGTCAAAATGTGTATTTTCGTGAAAACCTGGTTGGCTCAGCATTGTATGCCTATATGACTAGGTGATGTCGTTAAATTGACGGTAGTGAAGAGTACGCCCCTGTCAGCATAACGCCTTTGCTCTTGATTAGACACGCACACCCATACACGTGTGTCCATTTGTCTTCACCCTCAAGTCTCAATCTATCACAGACGGAGGTGGTTGCAGGACTACGCGTGGTGGCGATCAAACACCCGACATCGAAATGGGGGGTGGAGTGGCGTTGTGGCCGCAGAAACATTCTCTGAACACCAAAAGTCCTGCAGCCACCATTACTCAAGAATGACAACCCATGTACGATAATTACAAGGAAGATTGACGCAAGACACGCTCATCAAACGTTGTCTCTACTGGCCCTTATGAAATTCAAATAATGGTTTATGGACTTTGTTGAGCGTTGGAGGTTTCTTGGTAGGAAGTTATATTTGAATTTCTCCTTCTATCCAAATTATGCATTTGAGTTTGTTCTTTGAGAATCAAATAAAATTACCCCGTGAATGAGCTAAAGGACAAAAGATGTGAAAACTAGTCAAAGATTTGATGGGAAACAGAGTAACCAAACAAATCACTGGTCAAGCGGTTGAATGAGTCAATAGCTAAGGTCAAAGCAGTTGAGCAAAAAGGTAAGTCAGTATTATTGCCAACGTACCCCGTGTGACATAGAGGTTTGCTGTAGAAAGCCCCAAAATTTTTAAACGCATTGCGCACATAGTTATCGCTAAAGTAAAATATAAATTCTCGAATCGGTATAGTCATTCTAATACCATCAGGACATTTAATTAGCTTATAAACTGGATAAGGGTGTAATGCCTTTTTATGTGATCACCTGTATACCTGACGGTCAAATTAGTATTCATCTTGCTATTTTACACCAGAGATAGGAGCTGGGCCAGACTAATTTCCGATTTCCCTCTTCTCCTCCTAGAATATATACATTTGCCCAACCAGTACCTCCTGCGAGTCTAATGCACTAGCCTATTAATCATTGATCCAAATGTTGCTTTGAAAATTTAAGGTCGAGATCCAACACGTTGCCCAAAATATGGTATATAATTAATATATACCAACAGAAGAGCATCTTTTATGTAGATCTCTTCAACATTATAGGCTTTGTGTAATGCTTTGTTTATGTGACCACCTGATGTCTGACACTGACCGTAAGATTCGTCTGGCCCTTGTACACATGGACTGGTTTTCGGGCCAAGCTCAGTTTTAATAATTTTTCTCCTTGGAACACATGTATTCAGCTGCAGTTGTTGCCTTCTTCCACCCTGTGGGGAGTCTTGGGACGCTGCACTTTGAATACGGCGATTTAGTTGCCAACGTCACTAGGCTTATTAAAATACCCCTCCAAAGCAGAGACAAGACGAGAGACACAACATTACGGAAAGACAAGTTTCGAAACAAAGCCTATAATTGTGCTAAAATGCACAATTACAAGCAGCAGATATCTGTTCACGATTGTTTTAGGATCATAATTATTGCTCAATGCTAATCATTTAATTATTGCGCAACAAATTGTGCTGTACCTCTCGTCATAATAAAAGTATTGCTGCAAATTCTCCTACAATTAGCTTAGGAAAAGTTTATGCTTCGCTTATCGTCATTATTAATGTTGTCATAGTAACTTCACACTTTTAAGTTACCACATTATTCACGAGGTTACTGGGTTCGCGTGGCGGTCATTTCTTACGCTTCGCCCGCTTGTCTTTATCATGTCGGTCTCGGTGGGTATTTTGCTTTTTAAGTTGTCTCCTTCTGGCTCTCTCAATATCATTTTCTTTGTTAATAGAGTAAAATAGGGTGGAACTTTGCCAAATGAACGCTAGTGGAAAGTGCAAATAATGTCGTTACTTGTTTTACCTGTTTTCGTTTCGTTCCCCATCCAAACGGGTTTAACACTCACTCGACGACTATCCACGTTGAATTCATGTGATATAGACTGCTTTTTCATTTGTTTTGATGTGTACTTGTACTTTTGATTTACAGCCTTATTACTCGCTCCCCATTTCTATATCTGATCCGCTAACACTAGACCAATTTGAAATCTAGTTTTCCGTTTTATTTGCCATACCGTTCCCGCTTGTTACTTCAGCCTCCGAGTGTAAGGTTAATCCTTTTCTTTTAATTGGAAGTTCGTTATTTTTTGCAGTCTCCTTTTTCGACATATTAAACTCACTTCTTTTACGGCACCAGAATAGTCCTCATGGCTTAAAGTTCCATCTTCAATTTATTCTGACTAACTATCTGTTGGCTCAACTTGTCTTTTTAAGACGTCTGCATTTTCACGTCACCTTATGTCTCGGCAACATGGTCGTCTGGTTTCACATTCTTTTCTGCTAAGTCCTCTATCCTCATAAAAGGCTATTCGTGACGTTTGAATGCCATACCGCTCTCGTGTTATTCTATCAGTTTTCACGCGTTGAAAGAATGGCAAGTTGTATGCCATTAAATGCCTGATAACATGTGTGTTTTGTTCCTCGTATTTATTGTGTTGCTTCTTTGGCCTCTGCCTACTCTGGGATCAAATATCTGTAGCCGTTTCACTTCAGTTATCTTTCCTCTTGAGTTGCTCTATCTGATGCAATCAAATCTTCGATCGTTTGACCTTGAAGCCCATTGTTTATATTCAAATACGAGATTTATAAAAGATTGTTGTCTCGGTCCCACTATTTTGCAGGATGTTGCTTTAAATCTAAATGAGTCTTTATTTCATAGGTCAATCTGAATTGCCAAAAATGCAGGAAGTTTATGTCATTGGAAGGCTTCGGGTCTTGTAGTGTTGCGCTATCATCAAGCCTTTCATTGATCTTAGACATCAATCTTGCTGTTTCAAAGTGTTCACATTTTTATGTTAGACAACTAGTGGTCTTAAACTGAGGCACTTTTCTCCATTCTGTAGACAGCTGAATTTCAAAAATGCCTTCACGAGCTTCAGGGTCAGCCAGAGGTTCGTCTCTTCGTTCGGGCTTCGATCACTGATCGAAACACCATTGGTGCTTGTCTCATTTGCCATCAATGGCTGATGGTCTTCCGATACATGGTAGAGATGAACTTGGTTCGTCTAGAGGTGGTGCCCATCTCCTATGACAATGAACCCGAAGATTACAAGAGTCTTCATTGTTCTAAACGTCTTCCTGCTGCCTTCCTACCCGATTTTCAACTTGCTGCTTCTACACCAGATGAATTGGAAGCCCTTCTAGCTAAGTTTCAATGTCCTCAGCTTGTTCTGCCTTTTGAGTCAAAGGAGGTGTTGGAGGCAACCCACGCCTTTATCGATGTCTATAAGAATGTGCTTAATTTCATCCGAAATAATATGGAGAGTCCGCTGCTGAACGCTTTGAAACGGTTGGAGGATTATCTGCAAAACCAGAAGACACGGTACCTTTTGGGAGATAAGCTAACATTTGCCGATTGTATGCTGATGCCAAAACTGCAAGTGATGCGAGTTCTGCTGCGTGCCTGTAAGCAATGGGACATTCCACTGGAGTTAATCCACACCTGGCGTTACGTTCAAATCATGTATGAGACTACAGCTTTCACTGTCACCTGTCCCTTAGATAGGGACATTCTGATGCACTATCGTGAGAACAAAGGCTTGGATATTCCAATGAAGGCGCTTCGTTCAACTGATGACTATCTACACTCCTGTCCACCGGAGCTGCCAGTTTTGAAGTGACCCATTGTGACCAGTAATTATGCCGATGAGGATGATTTCTGTGCTATTTTTACTAACCGGACGTTAACAACAACAAAGACCTGTTGAAGTGCACACCCAATCATATCGGTTTTACTAGTGACTTCGGGATTTTAACTTTTCCCTTCGGTCAAACATCGAGTCATGAGGATGTGGGTAATTTAAGCACTCCTGTCAAGTAGCTCCCAGAGAAAAGAGGTAGTATTTCTCAATGCGACGTACTTGCGATAGGGACAAATCAACCATTGTAGAATTTATCTTGGCTGGCGGTGTGTATCATTTGGTTAGGGCTCGAAATTGTCAGTCCTACTGGCAAATTAGTTAATCACGTGAAACCATAGCGATCTCTCCATCGGAGGTACGAGTCACCCCATCAATGCTGGCATCCACCTGCGGAGATGTTGGCACTGCCTGCCATAGCAGCATTTCACATTCCCATGATTTAAAAGCTTTAACTGCCACGCAGCTTGATATCTCTGATCTCTACTTCAAATAGCAGAATTGTGTTGGCTCAGTCACTACCGTTACGATTAACATCCTCAGATGAAGCTAACAGAATCCAATGGAAATAATCGCGAATGCTCTGACACTTTTTATCAGGCTAAGTGGTAATTCAGCCACGCTGATGGCACCACCCTGTGTTCAGATAAACAGGTCTTCAAATCACCACATATGGTGTAAGTGGTCGTAGAAGTACTCGCCGGGCGTTTTGGAATTTGCTATGTAGTATGCGTTGCTGTTGTCTAACCTCTTCAAGGGCAGTTAAACGGTCTTTACTACCCATCCATTATAATTTACTTACAATTAGGGGAAGACAAATAAAGCTCCAAATTCGCTTTCAACCCCTAAGGGCCCTCAAGGGAAGATGAATTTCGTTTGCGCAGTGAGAGTGGATGACGCATCACTTGTATTGGTTACTCATGCGCGTGCATACATTCTCCTCAGATGATTGGTTTATACTGGGCTATCTCGCACTCTGATTGGACAGAGCATAACTCTACAAATTGGTGTTGCTCTAGGCAAGAGAGTGCATTGAACGCAAAAGGCGGTGTCGGACCTCCGCTGGGTGGCGTCATAGTGCACGCTGCAAGCGTCGACTCCACCCCTTCTAGCCACGTCGCTATTCTTCTCATCAGTCTTTGTTAATGCTATCACGGTGATTCATGGGAGAGGCGCTGCTACGTTTAATCGCGTGACTAATATGGGAGTGACCTGCTCGCACCACGGCTCTGCCATTTGCACTGCTAAATTAAATCAGGTGTGGATTTAGGGGTCCGAAATGTGGGTCGGAGTTAATGGGGCAAAGGTAGTATCATAGAAGGGGTAGTTAACGCGGTTACCCGAATTGGAACGCCACTGACAACGCCATATATGGAAGGAATTGAACACGCGGAAGTGGTTTATATTGCTAATGGACGTGAGAAAAGGAATAAAGGGTTTGAAAAGGCAAAACAGGCTAAAATAATGTGATGCTTTGCTCTATTCTGTCACTAACGCCAGTACAACTTGTGTGGTGGGAAGGCAACAATTATCGATGTTTTGGTCTACTAACCGAAACCAGGTCAGGAAATCGATAAGCCGTGCGATGATGGTACTATCGAATCAATAGTTGGGTGAACCGTAGTTGAGGTCAGAAAGGATGTGGGCCACAAATAATTAAGTTGTTTAAAAATGCTTATCTTTTACCCTGAACTTTACCGAGGAGACCTCTGTTTTTCAATTTCGTAATCTGAAGTGAACCAGACGATGGTTAGGACAGGTGACAAGAAAAAATCATTTGGCACCGCTTTCATGACAGAATGAGCAATGGAGCTTAATAACTAGCATACAGACAGTCTCAAAATGCATTAAAGAATTTCTTATAGTGGCAAATGACTTGCTAGGCAAAAAGATAACAAGGGAAAGAAAAATAGGTTGAGAACGGCAAAAAATGAAAAATGAGACTGAAAGAAATGTCGAGTAGTCATCACGCCAAAGATGGAATATTAAAGAGCGCTTTTCGCCAAAGATTACAACACCATTGGGAAGTGGAATAAATTCAAATTCTCGTCATGCGTATTCAGCGTGATTGACAATGGGATCAAGTAGTGATGAGATCCACATGCGCGTAATCAGCTCTTCGGATTGCAGAAGTCACATGTCATAAGCTACACAAAATCCGGTACGTAGCATAGCAAAACACATTCATAATGCACCGCACACAATTCCTGTTTATGCCCTCTAACGTAGGTGTTAGTTGGTCTAAAAAGTGAAGTTGTATGACCCTAAGTGATGGATCGTTCCACTTTAAACAAGCAACTACTGACCGATCCCCCGACATGCTATGGTAGTCGCATAGCACATCGTGTATCGCACGTCGCATTCACTCAGCATGATCAATTTGACCTCATCACAAAGTAAGCAGCCTCATTCACCTCCTCTTCAACCCACACCACACACCTCCCATCCTCCGCTCTCCCTCATCCTCCTCTTCCCACACGTTGGTCAGGGCGTATGCTCACCTGCCTCTCCTCGCGTTCTACTCCCACACCTTCCTCCAGCCACCTTCCACAGAAGAGGCTA